CCCCAAAACCCCAAAACCCCAAAACCCCAAAACCCCATGAGAGTTATATAGAGCTGAAAACATCCCAAATAATTAATATTTTTAAATGGAACAAAATCCTTGGGAGAACGCTACCGATACTTTATTTACCGCTACTTCTGATCCTAAAGCTGCTGAAGAGGCACAGAAAAAGCCAAAGAAGGCCAACAAGGGAAAGAAAGGAGTTAAGAATGGAAAGAAGTCTGCTAAAGCTCAGAACACTAAAAATACTAGAACTTCACATGAAGAGTCCAAAGATGTTGAGATGAAGGAAGAGACAAAGACTTCAACCACACCTGCATCCGTTTCTGTTGTATCAAAATCAAGCAGGCGCAGTACCGAAGAAGGATTCACTGGGAGTCCAGACAACTGGTTCAACAATGATTCTTTTAAAAAGGGCCTCATCGCTGACTTCACCCATAAAGAAGGAGGAGATTACTACTTTGAGTCTTACTCAAACTTCTACATCCATGAGGAAATGCTTAAAGACAAAGTAAGGACAGAGAGCTACAGAAATGCTATTGAGAGCAACCCAGAAGCATTCAAAGACAAGGTGGTCCTTGACATTGGCTGCGGTACTGGTGTTCTTAGTATTTTCGCAGCAAGAGCAGGAGCCAAGCACGTATATGGAATTGATAACGCAGATATTGTACATTACGCAAGAGAGATTGTCAAGAAGAATGGATTTGAAAGCCAAATCACCATTATTCAAGGTAAAGTTGAGGAGATCAGCCTACCAGTAGAGAAGGTTGACATTATTGTATCAGAGTGGATGGGATATTTCTTAATCTACGAATCTATGATGGACACTGTGTTGTTTGCCAGAGACAAATGGCTAAGGAAAGGAGGTCTCATCCTTCCAGATAAATGAACTATGAAAGTCGCAGCTATCGAAGATGGGGATTATAAAGATAAGAAGCTCCATTTCTGGGACAATGTATATGGCATTGATATGTCATGCCTCTCCCCAGCCTCATTTGTTGAGCCTTGTGTTGATACTGTTAACCACGAGTGAATACCTTCCACTGTAGATACTTTCATGGAGTTCGATTTAAACACTGTGCAAGTTAAGGATCTTGAATTCTCTTCTAAGTACTCGGTAAAAATGAAGCGAGAAGATTCTATCCATGGTATCGTCACCTGGTTCGATATTGTCTTTGGTGGAATGAAGAATGAAGTCAGATTTAGTACAGGTCCTTTCGCAGAGTATACTCATTGGAAGCAAACCGTATTTTACTTTGATGGTTCTTACGATGTTGGCGTTGGAGATATTCTAGAGGGTTCTATTGCTTGCAAGAAGTCAAGTGAGAACTTCAGAGCATGTGACTTGAAGGTCTCATATCATTACATTCCTCCTCCAAACTGTGGAGTAGACAGTCATTGCCAAACCTTGCAGTATAAGCTTAGATAAACACATCTTTGTTATAAATCTAGGGTTCAATGAAATATTGAAAACAAGGGGTTTTGGGGTTTTGGGGTTTTGGGGTTTTGGGGTTTTGGGG